CCTTCATTATTTCACTTGATCATTCTTGGTTTGAAGTCGAGACTGTCTGAGGACAGGATTGCTATCCCTGCTTTTTTCTGAGATGCTGGGCTGGGTAGTATTTTTTTCTATCCTTTGACTTTCAGCCCATGAACAACTCTTTGAATTAAGTGTGTTTCTTGTATACAGCATATTGTTGGATTTTGTTTCCTAATTCACTGTGCCACTCTATTTCTTTTAATTGGTGAGTTAAGTCCATTTACATTGGTGGTTATAATTGAGTTGTATTGACTTAATGATTGACATGTTATTTACCTGCTGCTGTTTACCGTTTTTCTCCTGTGCTTAATTGTTTGCCCTATTTGGTGGATTCTTTCCATTCTCATTCATGGAGTTCTAGTCATTTTGGTCCCTTTCTGTAATATCTTTTAGTAGTCTGTGTAAGTTTAGCTTTGTCATCATGAAATTCTTTAGCTGTTCTTTGTCATGAAAGCATTTCAGGGTATAATAGTCTGGGGTGGAATTTGTTTTCATAGAGGGCTTGAAGTACTCTCCTCCATGCTCTGCTTGACTTCATGGTTTGTGAAGAGAACTCTTCCATTATTCTGATGGGTTTTCCTTTAAATGTGCTCTGTTCCTTTTCTCTAGTGGCTTTTAGTGTATTGTGCTTGTGCTGGGTTTCTGGGATCTTCACCATTATATGTCTGGGTATGTTTTTAATTGGGTTGATGTTATTTGGAGTTCTGTATGCTTCAGTTACTGAATGTCAGATTGTTTCCCCACATCTGGGAAGTTTTCTGCTATTACTTCTGCCCATATTCTTTTATATAATTTGTATTGACTGCTTCTTTCTCATTGATACCTATTAGTCTCACGTTGTTCATCTTTGCATCATCTTGCAGATGGTGAATTATTTTTTCCAGCATCCTAGTTGTTTTTAAGAGATCTTTTCTTACCTTTTCACTAGCTTCTGTGGTGTCTTCAAGACCTGAAACTGTCTTTACTTTCACTCAAACCATTTTTGCAAGCTTGTGATTGAGATTTTAAGTTCCTGTATATCTCTTTGACTCTGCTTCATGCAATCTACTTCTTTCCTATGTTGCTCATGCAAGGATTCCATCATTTTTCTATTCTCCTCTAATTTTTTATCAGTGTCTTCTTCAGAAGTAGTTATTAAGTCTTTTATTATAATCATCCTTTTTTACTTCAGAGATTATTTCTGATCTCATTTCCTCTCTACGTTTATGCATTTGATTATTTACTTCAGATGTTATTAATTCAGAGATTTGCTTCTTTTTTATTTCAGAGGTTATTTCTGGTCTGATTTCCTGTGTACATTTCTGCAGTTGTTTCTTTACTTCACATGCTATTATTTCAGACATTTCAGCTGTGATTCCCAATTGCTTCTGTGCTAGTGTCTCCTGCACTTGTTCTGGGTGGGCTCAGGGCTTGAGATTGCATTTTGCTCCTTCTCTTTCTCATTTTGTATAGCACTGTCCTCTGATCTTTGGTGTAGAACGTTGGTGCAGTTATAACCTTAGCACCTATCAAAATTCTTACCCAAGAGAGATTAAATGGTTAAGGCAGTTATAGTTTTGATTATGAACACTAATAATGGGTAGTAATATTTAGCAGTTCACAAACTTTTGTAACTAATGAGTTTGTATTTTAGATAAATAGATCAGAGCAAGCATTATGTCTATATAGATAAACAGATATTAAATTGGAAATTTGTATTTAAGTTTGTTCCCCTAAGTTCTGTCTGATCACCTCCCATTGATGTACCTGGTGTCTTTCAGGCAGACTAATTCACCCCGGTTACCTTTTGTCCTCTCTTTCAGTAAAGAGAGAAAGAGGAAGGATGGTATCATAGATCTGGGTCTAGCAAAGTGTCTCAGTTTACTGGGTCCTGATGTACCAAGTTTAAACTCATCCCAACATGCCCGGCTTGGGTCTGGCTGCTGTGCTCAGGTTCTTCCTGCTGCAACCTGGGATTTGAACCCACTGTGCCCCTCTCACAAGGTGTTCTGCTCCTAGATTAGCTGGGTGGTTCTGGCCCCTAGCCTCTCTGCAAGGACTTCAGCTGCAGAGTTTCACACCAGGCCTATATGCCAGGCCTGGGACGGGTCTGGAGGGGGTTCCAAGAGCAAGGCAGAAGTCCTCACTCACACACTGGGTCTGGGTGGGGTCCTCAAGCATCGGGCAGGTGCAGCAGAGCAAAAGCTCTCCCACACACACCTGGGGCTTGGCTGGGTCTGGAGGGATCCCAAGAGCAAGGCAGAAAGTCTCACTCACACACCGCTGCTGGGCCTGGGCTGGGAGCAGAAGCTGTCCCACACACACACGCCAGGCCTGGGATGGGTCTCTTATTTTTTTGTATTTTAGGGAAGGGTCTACAAGGTGTTCAGGGTCTCACTACTATATTGGACTCATAGTGTACAGCCTCTCAAGATAGAATCATTTGTTCTAAGTCTTAATTTTATTTTACTTTTTTTTAATTTTAATTTATTTTGTTTTTCAGAATCTGGGATTGAACTCAGCCCTTGTGCTTGCCAGGGAAGCATTTATTCCACTGAGTCATCTCCCTGGCCCTATTTTGTTCTAGTTCTGTGAATGATGCTGTTGCTATTTTGATTAGAATTGCATTAAATCTATATATTATTTTTGACAATTTTCAAGTTTGAAAATATTTGTCCTGCTCACCCAAGAACAAGGGATGTCACTTTTCTCATGCCTTTTTCTATCTTTTTTCAGAGTAATTTTTTTCATTATAGATATTTTTCATATCCTTGTTTAGGTTATTACCTAGGTATTTAAAATTTTTTGAAGATGCCATGAACAGAATTGTATTCTTTATTTCTTCTTCTGTGAGTATGTCATTGACATATGGAATATTACTGATTTTTGTGTATTGATTTTGTATCCTGCTATCTTGCTAAATTTATGTACTAGTACTGAGAGTCTTCTGATGGAATTTCTTTTAGGGGTTGGAGAATCTTCTTTGTAAAGGATCATGTCTGTCATGACATGCCAGTTGCTGCCGTACTGTCTCTCAGGTAGATGATTGTTTAAAAAGGAAGGAGGTGGTGAATGAAGGCCGGAGACAGGAAAAAGAGTGTTGTGGAACAGTTCTGCTACAATGTTGTATATGGTTAGATTTCTGGACTTATGTGTAAACATATATAATTCTTTATTCCTATTTTTTAAATATATTTTAATTTTTTAAATTTTTTGTCATATTCTGTAGGAACTTAAAGTTTAACATATCAATACTTGATGAAAAATACCTATTCCATGTTATGCCTAAGATGTTTGATAGTCAGACAGATAGTGAGGTTAAGCTCAATAACCTAGGTTGTATAGTAACAACAATAAGCTTCTCTTCTGGAGGGTTAACAACCCAAGTTTGCAGACCAAAATTAGAGAAAAAGGAGGGCCTCAAGGAACGCCAACATTTTGGCCCTAGCCTTCCAAGGTCAATTAAGAGTCAGGACATATGAGAACTTGTACTGTAACATCACGTAACTCGGTAGTGTCCCAAATTTTCTGATCAAGGAGATTATGAGGCCAAAGATGAAAATTATCGATGATGTAGAGTATGCCTAAGGAGAGGCACATGAAGAGAAAACATTCTCTCAGGCTTTCACAGAGAGTACATTGGCCAAGCAATGGCCGTGACTCATCCACATGGCTGACACTGGCAAAGGATCTACAATCTGAGGTACAGGGTCTCAGGATAAATCCTGAGGGGGTTTGACTGACCTTATCAGACCCAAAAGCTACAACTCTTGCTGCATAGGTCTTGCTTTATCTTGATCTTAACCATCCAGCAGAAAAGTATAAAAACAAAGTATAAGAAGTAAAGCCGCACCCTTCCCCACCCCCTCCCATCTCCCTGCCCTTTCCCCCATTACTCCCTCCCCCAATTCTCCATCCCCTTCCCTCCTAGTCCGGAAGGACCCCGTCCTATCCTGACCTTTCTCGGCCTGCAACCTTCGCGAAACCGTTGGTGCCACTCCCCGTCCACGTTGGTCCCGACCGCTGCCCACGCCTGTCCCCCAGCTCCCTGTTCCACTGGGCTTTCCCCTCGCTAGGAGTGGCTTTCTGAGCCGCCCGCTCCATGCCCTTCTCTGCACACTCTCCTCCTGCTCGGGCCCCAGTTCCCCCTCCCGGAGGCAGTAGGCTGTCCCCAGGGGGCTGGCGGAGCTGGGCCGCGGGGGCCCCGGGGCCAGTGGTGCCAGGGTCATCGGGATGATGCTGACACAGTGTTTGCTGGGGCTGTGTAAGTTCTTGGCCTTCACCAAGCTGTGGAGCTTCTTCGTTTACCTTTTGTGGAGGCAGACCCGCACGATAATTCAGTACCAAATTGTTGATATGATATTCTCCCATTATCTCCTGTGTCTGGGAATTGGCTAGCCCAGGTGAAAAGGAAGATCCTGGTGCTGGATCTGGATGAGACACTTACTCACTCTCACCATGATGGGTTCCTGAGGCCCACTGTGCGTCCTGGAACACCTCCTGATTTCATCCTTAAGGTGGTGATAGACAAACATCCTGTCCATTTTTTTGTACACAAGAGGCCACATGTGGATTTCTTCTTAGAAGTGGTGAGTCAATGGTATGAGCTGGTGGTCTTTACAGCAAGCATGGAAATTTATGGTTCTGCAGAAGCAGATAAATTTGATAATAGCAGAAGCATTCTCAAGAGAAGATACTACAGACAGCACTGCACTTTGGAATTGGGCAGTTACATCAAGGACCTCTCTGTGGTCCACGGTGACCTCTCCAGCATTGTGATCCTGCATAACTCCCCAGGGGCATACAGGAGCCACCCAGACAATGCCATCCCCATCCAATCCTGGTTCAGTGACCCCAATGACACAGCCCTTCTCAACCTATTCCGAATGCTGGATGCCCTCAGGTTCACCGCTGATGTTCGTTCCTTGCTGAGCCAAAACCTTGACCAACATAGGCTCTGGTGACAGCAGCTCCCCCTTCACCTGAGTTGGGGTGGTGGGGGAATGGGAGGGTGAGCCTTTGGGATGCTGGCTGATGCCCTGTCCAACGTGAGAACTGCCTGGGCAGAGTCTGCCCCTCCCAACCTTCTCTACCCTGGAAGCCTTATACTCCACTTGGAGTCTGGATGGACACATGGGCCAGACTGTGAAGCAGCCTCACTAACTTCATGTTCACACTCCATGGAAACCCCAGACTGAGACAAGCAGAAGCCATGGACAGCAGAAACTGTCTGGTGGAGGCAGGACTGGCCAGAGTGAGAGACACATACTGTGATCCAGGAGGCTCAAAGAGAAGCCAAGTCAGCTTTGTTGTGATTTGATTTTTTAAAAGACTCTCATACAAAACTGATCTAAATTCTTCACTCCTGCTCCAAGGGCTGGGCTGTGAGTGTGAGATTGGGATTTTGGGCCACTGGATCATCCCCAAACTTCTTCCTTTACTTTCCCTCTGTTTTTCTCTCCTTAGATTCCCTCAGACCTGTAACCAGCTCTCCCCCCCCCCACTTCCTCTCTTCTAAACTGTGCATTATAACTTTGAAACAAAAGAAGAAGAAGAAGAAGAAGAAGAAGAAGAAGAAGAAGAAGAAGAAGAAGAAGAAGAAGAAGAAGAAGAAGAAGAAGAAGAAGAAAGAAAGAAGAAGAAGAAGAAGAAGAAGAAGAAGAAGTAAAGCTATGTTGTTATGTTGAGCTGTAGGGAACTCAGGTCAACAACTTCTGACACTGCCAGTCAAACGGAAGACCCAATACTATTCTGGACTACTGGACTATTTTGGAATATTTTGCTGAGCCACACACCTATATTTAAATGACAGAATTAAACAAAAGAGGGGATACAGATGAATGACCTAGGAAGGCAGTATGCAATGTGTTAATTATTGGAACTGTCCTACCAATTTGATTTTAAACTGTCTCATTGCTATTTATTTCTCAATAAAATTATGGGGTAAAAAAGGATCATGTCATGTGTCAATAAAGCATATTCGGCGGTGGCAGAGGATCCCGCGGCAGTGCTGGCGGCCATGGTTCCTGTAGCCAGAAGGAGCTGCCCACAGAACCCCCCTACACAGCCTATGTAGGAAACCTTCCTTTCAACACAGTTCAGGGTGACATAAAAGCTATCTTTAAGGATCTCAGCATAAAGAGCGTATGGCTAGTCAGAGACAAAGACACAGACAAGTTTAAAGGATTCTGCTATGTAGAATTCGATGAGGTTGACTCCCTAAAGGAAGCCCTGACCTACCATGGTGCACTATTGGGTGACCGGTCACTTCGTGTGGACATTGCAGAAGGCAGAAAACAAGATAAAGGTGGCTTTGGATTCAGGAAAGGCGGACCAGATGACAAAGGTTACAGGGATGACTTCCTAGGAGGCCGAGGAGGCAGTCACCCAGAGGACCAACGAGCAGGCCTTCCCACGGGGAGTCGCTTCCAAGACGGACCCCCGCTGCACAGCTCCAACATGGACTTCCAAGAACCCATGGAAGAAGAAAGAGCACAGAGACCATGGCTCCAGCTCAAACCTTGGACAGTGGCAATAACCCTCAACCAAGTAGCCAACCCCAAATCCATCATCTTTGAGGGAGCCAGGCCCAGAAAGGAAGTCGTGAACAAGGAGCAGGAATGAGCATGCAGCGGGAATGGGGCGTGGGGAGTTAGAGCGAGACCACAGCCAACGGCCTGGACCGGCCACCCCACAGACACCGTTCCTGTACCTGACACTGTCCTCCTTCCTTACAGTGCAAACACTGAGCTTGTGAATGCATGTCAGCTGTTAACAAGTGGTTTTTAGTACATCCTTGGCTTTGCTGTACCTAGCTAGTGCCTGTTTTGTGCTCTTTATTTTTTTCCTTCTCTGTCCTCATCTTCTATCTGTTCTCCCTGTTGCCCCCGTGTCTGCAGCACGCAGTGTCTGAAGGAGGCGTGAAGCCTGCCCTGTGAGAGGCACAGGCCCAGGTGGTGCTGGCTTTGGTGCTTCTCCTTTGCCTTCTCTTTATTTTCCACATGGGCCAGACTTGGTTTTTCTCAGTGCTTCTTTTCTGACCCGCATGCTGAGTTCTGTGTCGCTGTGGCTTCCAGGAAAGAGCAGAAGTTGCTGGCAAGTTGGCCAGCTGTGGTCGATATGCCAAATTGGATGCACCTTGTATTGAAAATGAGGGAAAATTCCTGCTGATCCTTGCCTCCTTCCACCCTTATGGTCCTGCTCCTAGGGTGTCCTGTCACCATCAGCCCTCCCCGGGGGCTGGGCAGGCAAAGCAGGTGTGAAGCCTGGAAAAAGTGACAGGTGCGCTGGTGGTGCTCCTCACCTGTTACCCAAGGGCTCTGTGTGCTCAGGTGGTTTGCTGCACTGTCCAGAGACCATGTCCAGATAGCTCCTCTCTGGAGGCATCAGGCGCTCCCCATGCAGACTGTCGTGGCTGCCCAGTGGTTTGTATCATTTCCACTGCTCAGGTGCTGTGGGGACCAGGCAGTGGTGGTGCTGGGCTGGGCTGACACAGTGATGAGGACCTAACCTTCCGCTATATCCCTGTTGTCTGTCCGGCATCTCCCCCTTGCATCTGTTCCCACAAAAGCAGCCTACTGAGATTGCTTCCCATGGTCCCTTGAGCCCATGGTGGAAATGGCCTCAAAACTGGCATTTTATTTCCCGTGGTGAAAGTTTTCCTATGCCAAGCTGTCCAGACCCTCACTGACTGCCAAGGACTGTAGACGTTCCAGCTGGCCACTTCATGTCCGGGACCTGCTGTCATGTGCAGTGGTTGGTGCTCATCTGGGAGGAAGGTGTTGGGCAGCAGCTTCTGAGCTCAGAGGCCTTGTGCGAGCAGATGGAGCATCCCCCAGTGCCGAAGTCACCGCCTGTCCCAGTGGGAGCTGCTTGAGCCCTGGAAAAGGAAGACCCAGCAGGATGCCTGGAAGGCCAAGGGCAGAGCATGGCTCACTGGCCTGGGGGGTCCCAGCTCGCTGTTATCCTCTGATTTTGTGTCTGTTGCAAGCTATCAGCAACTTACAGAACTCCCGTTTCTCCCCTCTGCCTATCGTCTTCTGTGCTTCTGAGATAAGAACCATTTGTGTAACACCAACACCTAACTTAAGAAAGACATGCATTAGGTGGTTGTAACAATGCTGATGCTTTGAGACAACCCACACACATCCTCAATGCAGAAAGATCAAGAGCAAAACAAATCCATCCACACCACTGGGGACCCAGCTGGCTTCCAGATTTTGAGGGTGGAATTCCAAACAACACATTCAACTATATGACAGAAAGCAAATCTATGGATATGGTATTTTGTGAATGATCTTTTAAATAAAAGAAAAACCTTACATTAAAAAAAGAAGTAAAGCCATGGTGTTATGTTGAGCTGTAGGGAACTCAGGTCAACAATTTCTGACATTGCCAGTCAAGTGGAAGCCCCGATACTATTATGGACTACTGGACTCTTTTAGAATATTTTGCTGAGTTAACACACCTATTATAGTCAAATAACAGAGCTAAACAAAAAAGGAGATACAGATGAATGTCCATTTTGTATCTGTGTATTCAAAATGGTTAGGATAGATATATAGTTACATTCTCTTAATGAATAGAGGGATTTGTTCTAATGATGTTTGTAAATAGGATATCATGTCCGCATCTTGTACAGCAATTAACTACTAGGAAGAATGTATGCAATGTGTTAATTATTGAAACTGTCCTACCAATTTGGTTTGAAGCTGTCTCACTGCTATTTGTTTATCAATAAAATTACGGGGAAAAAATAAAAGATAGAAAAACAAAGCTCCTCCAAGAAAAATCAGCTGAAATTCTTCCTTCCTATTTTCCATTTTATACCGTTCTGACCACAATCCTGTCTAAACTGAGTCTTCCATGCCCAGAACCATGTTGATTCAATTCAGTTGGGCATTCTCACTCAAGTTGACAATTAACCACAAGGGGTTTGCCATAAATGGCTTTGTTTAGCCTTTCTATCTCTGTCTCTATACAAGTTTTTATAATGAGTGAATGTTAGGTTTTGTCAAGAGCTTTTTCTGTATGTATTGAGATGATTGTGTGGGTTTTTCCTTGCTTTTATTTATGTGATATATTATGTTTATTTATTTATGTATGTTAGGCTATCCTTGCATCCGTGGGATGAATAAAACTTGGCCATATGATTCTTTTCATTATTTGTTTCATTCTGTTTGCAAATATCTTGTTGAGGTTTTTGCATCTATGCTTATTAAGGAAATTGCCCTGTAGTTTTCTTTTTTGGTTAAGTTCTTGTCTGGTTTGAGTATCAAGCCAATGCTAGCTTTCATGAATGTTTTGAGCAGTTCTCTTTCCCTTCAATTTAATGAAGAATTTGTGAAGTGCTGTCAGTGATCTTCACTGCATTTCTGGTAAAAGTCTTCCATAAATCTTTTGGATTTTGAGATTTCTTTGTTGGTAGTTTTTATTACTTCCACTCATTGCCTACTATTGCTCTATGGAAGGGTCTTTTCTTTGTTCAATTTTGGTAATTCATATATATCTAGGAATTTATCCAGTCTTCTAGGTCCTCTGATTTATTGGAATATGAGGTTTTTTTAATAGTTTTTTATAATCCTCTGAATTTTGGTGGTGTCTGTTATGACCTTGATTTTTGTTGTGATGACGGTTTCAAGGAGAAAAGATTCAATACAGGATGTATAATTTATAGGATTGTTTTATAATAGTCACCCAAAGAGTCAAATGCTAAAGAGTTCATGAGATCAGTCCACACACTAGAGACCCAAAGAATCCAGCTGTGGGCCTTGATATCATGGCAACATCCTACAGGACTCCAACTGGAGGCCCAGAACTCACAACAATGTCTCACGCAAGTCTGTATTAAGGACGTGCATTGAGAAAGTCCAAACATCAGTGGTGGAAGTAGACAGTCTGCACCAGCGGGATGAAGGATCTGTGCCAGCAGGCTGAGAGATCTGCACTGGAGCCAGAATCAATGCTCAAAGGACTAGCGCTCCCCCAAAGAGATCTGCAGCTATCCTTGGTGACAGTGAAGACACAAGCCCCTCTGACAATGAGAAAAACCAAGTTCATATCAGAAAACCAATACAATGAGCTCATCAAGGAGAATCAACAGCACACCACCCTTCCCTCCAGTTCTTCTTTTATGCTGTTGGCGTCAATCCTCAAGTGGGCTTTTGACACCCAGTGCCGCAATGATGAGGCTCAGCTGGGCTTTAGAAGTTCCCCATTAGTTAATGCACCACACTTCTTTGCCAATTGCATTTCTCTTTCTTCCTTTTGGTAAGTTTGGCTACAGGTTTGTCAATCTTCTATACCTTTTGAAGAATAAACTCTTCAATTCATTGTTTTTTTTTTTTCTTAGTCTCAGTTTCATTTGTTCCTACTCTGATCTTTATAATTTGTTTCCTCCTATTGATGTCAGATTTGGATTGTTCTTGTTAACCAGGACTTTGAGATGTGCCATTAGGTTATTTGGGCTCACTCTACTCTCTAATTGCTATTATCAAGGACCAGCCAACTAGCTCAGTGGATTAAAGCACCTGCTTAGGCAGACACAGAGGCCGGGGTTCGATACCCTGGGGTGTGTTAAAATGGCAATTGAGACTGGGCGTGGTGGCACGCACCTGTAATCCCAGCGCTGGGGAGACTGAAAACAGATGGATCCCTATGAGTCTAATCTACATAGTGAGACCCTGTAGACCCTGTACTAAATACAAAGAGAGAGAGAGAGAGAGAGAGAGAGAGAGAGAGAGAGAGAGAGAGAGAGAGAAGTTGACTACATGGATCAGACTTATAGTGATCCTCCTGTTTACAGCCTCTCAAGCTCTGAGATTACTGGCATGCACCACCAAGCCTAGTCTCATCTGGGAATCGAACCCTAATCCCTGTGTCTGCCTAAGCAGGTGTTTTAATCTGCTGAGCTATCTGGCTGGCCATATTCCTATTATTCCTTTGGGAGTGTTTTCGGAACCATCTAGCTGTTGTCAGATCCAGCTTCCATTTTTTATCACCAAGACTAAGAATCCTCTCCAAGCTTCCTTTGTATTAGAACAGAAGGACCCTCTTCCCTTGAGCTAGAGTTAGGATTCAAGGCTGCTCATTCTTTTCTATGCATTGTTTTCAGTTTCCTCTGTTTCTCTGGCTTTCCTGTCAAATCTTTCCTGACTCTCGGGGCTCTTTCTCTTTTCTTAGTTACTATTTTCCAGGTATCTCAGTTACAGATACTGAGGAGGCTGTGATTTGGTGCTGGCATTTACTCTACCATCTCTTCTTCCTTTTTTAGTTGCTGACCATGATAGAAAACACTAAATATTTATCTTTCTGTGATTTACATGATGTCCTCCAATTCTGTTCATTTTCTTGCAAATGAAAAGATTTCATTTTTCTTTGTGACTAAATAATTTCACAATTCATCTTCTATAGATATATACCAGGAGTGGGATAGCTACATCACATAGTTGAGAAACTTCCATACTGTTTTCCATAATAGGTGTACTAAAACACATTCCCACCACCAGTTTGTAGGGTTCCCTTTCCTCCATATTTTCTCCAGCACTTTTTTTCTTTTTTATTATAGCCATTCCAACTAGGATGAGATGGACTCTCACTGTAGTTGGGGGAGTGTTGTGTTTTACTTTTACCTCTTTATCACCAGACTAAATGTATAATAGTATGTCAATGCTATGTAGTTGTCTAGGGGAAAAATAGTACAAAAGTGTTTATGTTGGTAGTTCTATCTCTATAGCATCAGTGTGTTATTGGCGCATTTTAATTTTACAGGATAATGGGCATATCACAAAACATTCATACATGTATACAACATGCTTTTATTATATCCTCCCCTTGTCCTCCTTTAATCTCCCCTTTTCCCCAGGTCGCCTTTTCCTTCTCTAATATACTCCCTTCTACTCCAAGATACTTCATCTTTTTTTACCCCTAGACTCTCCATATGGGAGAAAATATGTGATACTTCTCTTTCTGAATCTGGCTTATTTCACTTAACATAATGATCTCTAATTCCATTCATTTTCTTGAAAATGGCATAAGTTCATTCTTTTTATGGCAGAATAATACACCACTACCACATTTTTTTTGTCCATTCATCCACTGACAGCAACTTAGAATAATTAATAAGCCTCCCTGTTGTAGATGGTGCTGTGATAAACATGCAAGTATTTACCTCTGTAGCATACTGAAATCAAAAGCCACAGAAATAATTTGCCTTGTTTTAAACTACTGATGT